AGATTTGGGAGCACATGCTTTCAAGCAAGGGGGTTCAAAGATTTAGTATCTATGGTTCCTCAAAATAATCTCACTAGGGATTTGTAACCAATAATAAAGTATCAACATTTAGGAATTTTTTTTAATTATGAATTAAATTTGCTTCGAACTTATCTATAGTGCAATGTCACCCCATTCAGCTGCAATAAGATCCCTACATGAGTGGGAGAGAAGGGTCAGAGTCTTTCCTCGTTAGAAGTTGCTTGGTAACACTTGGCAAAAACATGGATATATCTTGCACATGTGAACATCTTCCAAGTTGTGTGTGTTGCAACAGAAAAGTAACTGAGAAAATTTGTGTCATGCAGACTCTGATTAGCTTCAAAATACAAGTAATGGGTATCTTTGCATGCTCTCTGCTTTGATGAGGGCCTATTAAACAAGAATCAGGACGATCTCAAAGCATTGGCTAAAAATTCCTTTACACAGAAACTCTACTACTGTGGGACCAAATTACACACATCATTTTGTTATTTTTCTCTGGAAATAGAAATAAATAGCAAGTCTCATATTAAGAGTTCATTGCTATATGGTAGGCATGTGTTGCTTTTTAGAAAGATGAAGTGGCCAAATATTCCTTGACAGTCCCTTCCTTAGGCATGGAGCAGTGGAGAGCATAGTGCTGTCAAAGATGAATTAGGTAAAAGTGTAAAGAAGGACTGTTACCCTTTGAACATCTATTCAATAAGAGTACCCCCCTATGACCACAACGGGTTCCATGATGAATACTAACTTCCATGGTAAATTCAGATTGTTTTATTTTTTTAACCAATACCCAAGAAAGGAAAGTGTATCTTAAACGATCTTTGATCATGATTTTACCTTTGTTTGTGTGGAAAATAAATTTGAAAAACTACAGTAAAATGGTTTGGATTTAAATTGTCGTGAACTGCTTTAGAAAAACACTTAGAGGAAGAATTCCAGTTAATTAGTGAATTGGAATGATTTTCAGTTGTGTCAATTTTTCTGATGGTTTTGATTGAACTAATGACTTAACATGTAATTGACTATGCCCCCTCCAAATCAATCAAAGCCAAACTGTAGTAAGTCAGCTAGCTTCTAATTCTTAAATCAACTGTGGACATGCACAATCTTTAAATTTATGAAACAAAGCATACTTTATTTTACTCAGGTAACATGAAACTGGAATTGAGAACTCAGTAAAATCTAGAAAGCAAAAAATTACCATTGTAGGTACTAATATGTTACCTTAATTTTTCAAATGGAAACTATATACCTTTAAGAAAATGGTGCCAGAATTCAGAATGCTATAGAAAGAGGGGTAGAAAAACTGTAATAGTCTTTTGAATGTTTTCAGCCATTTAGAAAGGTGAAACCATTCTTAATTCAAAGGTCAAGCAAAAATAAGAAGTGGACCACACCTGGCCCATGTACTGCAGTTTGCTGACCCTTTCCTTACACTCATGAAGCTTGAGTTATAAGAGTAATTGGTGAACTTCAAGACACAATAGGAGTTTAAACAACTCATTTACTTCATTATGGTGTAGCTGTTGAACACATCACCTGTGTACTAAACTAGACAAAAAAAAAAGTTTACACTGAGTTTAATAATGAGAAAATAACTGGAAATACCCAGATTCTGAGTCATTCTATAAAAGGGGCTTGAACTCTTCAGAAATGTCAATTATGAAATATCAAAGAAGGAAAGAATTAAAGTGCAGGGAAACCACTCAAGATTTCAAAGACGTGAAAACTAAAAGCAATGTGTGATTTTTGTTTGGGTCCTGGATTAAAACAAAAAACTAATGTCAAAGGACATTATTGGAGCATTTAGAGAAATGCAAATATGGATTATCAGATAATATTATGGTATTGATGCTGTATTTTTTGAATGTGAGAATGATACTGTGGACTGGCAGGATAACATGCTTGGTTCCTACGATAATTGCTGAAGCATTTATGGATGAAGTGTTATGGTTTGCAATTTAATTTCAAATGGTTCAATCACAACAAAAAGCATGTGTATAGCATGCAAAAGTGACAAAATTTTAGCAATAAAATGAATCTGAGTAGTGAGTGTGCAGATATTGTACTATTCATTCAACTTTTATACAGGTCTGAAATTATTCAAAATAAAAATTGGAAATGAAAATAAGGAAAAAAGACACAGCTATAAATTTAGTTGGTTTGTTAGAAAACCTTGAAATATAAAAATTATATAGTGCTTAAAAACTCAAGTATCCACTAAAATTCTAAAATAACATCAAATTTCACTTGGAAATTAATTTGACTTGTAAGAAAGAACTGGATTTCATTTCAGTGGGTTTCAATATTTCCATCTATTTTGTGACTAGAAATTACAGCTGTGATAAAACCTAACCTGAATGATGAACCAAACACAACAAAATCATCAAGCACAGCTTCTCAAAAGCCCAGAATTTAGATCACTCTGTTGTTCTGTAACAGTATTTATTCAGTGATTAGAAATCTGAAATATTTATTTTTATAATTAAAATGAAAAACTTAAATGCAAAAAAACACCACTAATCTTAGTGGTCAAATTCAGATAATTTTTGAAAATGTAGAGAAACTACATAGAAAACAATATTAATGGAGTCATCATTTAATTTGGAGAAATCACTCTATTGAAAGAATGAAAGGCACTTTCACAAGAAAAACTATAAACACCTTCAAGGCAGAGACCATGTTTTGGTGCCCTTTTTATCTCTAAAGCTAAACACAGTTCCTCATATAAGTAGCCACTCAAATAAATGTTTGTTGAATGACCAAATGAATAAATAAATGGGGAGAGGAGTCCATTTTATATGCAACAGGTAGAGTTTGGATTTGATAAAAGGAAAAGATTTGACATGACTCAGGCACTGGACTGGGCCACTGAAGGAAGTAATGAATTCTTATTTTTTACTTATTTATATTTTTATTGAAATTTACAATAATAGAATAAACATATATATTGAATATATTTTTAGATAAAACTTACCATTTAAATGTTCAGATATTTTTCTACATGTATGATGATGAAGACAGTTCCTCAATTTCAAGGACTCTGTCTGCTAACATTCAGTCAGGTTGAAATGGATCTGAAAATCATGACATATGAAAGGCGGTTGAGGGAACTCAAGAACAGAAATCATAGCAGCTTGGAGAGGATGAGTAACTGGCATAACTATCTTCAGGGTTGCCATGAGAAAGAAGGGGTAGAACTTTGAGTAACTCTGCGATGCTCATCAGGACAGAACTGGAATTTGTGAGTAAAATTCAAAAATTAGTGTGGGGAGGCACTGTAGATTTTAGCAATGTAAGAAAGAACTTTCTGACAAAGAGACACACTTCCAACAGTGGGACTGTCACTGGAAGTATGCAGGCCAATTTGGTATGCTTTATTTTCAAAGGTGACTAGGAAGGTAATGTTTACATAGAGCAAAAGATTGACACTATTTTATCCCTTCCAACCTGAAAAGGCATTGTTCAAGAAACCTGAAAGTCATTCTACAAATTCATTGTTAATACTAAGTAGATAACTTAATAAACATTTTCAATACCTCAAGGTCTTCACTGAGCATAACTAGTAAACAGAACATTATGTTTAGTTTGCTCTTTGAATGTTTTACCAATAGTTACAGACTTGGCAATAGATACCGCCCAAGGAAAATCTAGGTTGCCTCAGTACATAAGACAACACCATACCTCAACAAAGATCTAGAATGTTCTTAGGTGTTTTGAAGACCGAGAATTGTTTTTCTCTCAGATCCTGGGGTACTATCATTGTATACTCTATTATCAACTCAAGCCTACCTTATTTTCTACAGTAGCCTCCTAATGAGACATTTATTTCTAATCTCTCCCCCCTCTAATCACCTTGAGCACTGAAACTAAGTATCTGTTTAAAACCCCCTTTGAACAAATTACTACCCATTCAAAGAACTAGAACGGTTCATCCATTAGAAATATGTATGGAAAAAAGATTCAAAGGGGGATAACAATATAAATAATTTAAAAATGATAGAACCGTAGACTAGTGTTTTTTTTTTTTTAATGTTCTTAGTGTGGTACTAATAACGTCCTAATGATGAAATCAGGCACAAAATAAACACTCTTACAAAGTCCTTACTATCCAGCATCTTACATACATTAGATAAAACTTACATACAAACACTTAACTTTTTAAAATACCCTTCATTAATTCTCCCAATTTATATTTTCTCCTATTACTCCTGCAATAAAGCTTCATCAATTTTCTATTGTCTAACTTTCCGTATCTTTCAACCCCTTTTCTTCCTTCTTGTCTCTCATTTCTGCTTCTCTCTTTGTACGTCTTTTACCATATTTACTTTCTCCCTCACCTTTAGATCAACTACTGCATCTCATTTGTTCATTCACTTCATCCACAATGTAGGTAAACTTCCTGAGGGCAGGGACTTTGTTCATTCATCACTGAATCTCCCAAATCTAGAATAGTGCTTTCAGATAAAAGGTTTTAATGAACTATCAGTTGAATGAATGATTGTCATTTCTGTGCCTATATTAATCCACAGCATTATTTCTCATTGAAATTTGAGATAAATTCTTTATATATTTGTATGGTTTTATACTGCATTACATCTTTTTTCTATTTGCTTACATGTTTTAGTGTAGATCTCTCAAAATGAATAGATGTCCATCATGCTACCTTCATTCAATACTTCAGCCATATTTTATTCAATACCTACTGTGTGTCAGGCATTTTAGTAGGTGTTAGGATATAAATTAAAAACTGCACTTAATAGCAGTAAAGGCCAAATTAAAAATTTATCTAACTTCTTTTACACAAAATAAATACACCTGAAATCTATAGTCTAAATCAAAATAATAGTTTAAACTTTACTTCTTACCATATTTCTGAAATTCATTCAAAAGAATTAGATAAAATAAATATGACATATTAGGTATGCTAAAATCCAACATTAAATCATTAAAGAATAGTAGAAATAAAAATCGATGATAAATTTGTATTGGTTTAGGGGAACTGGCATTTAATCATTTGTATTCTAAGATTTTTATCATCATCAGAAAGAGTTTAAAAATTATGAAGACTTCATGTGTAGTCTCTATTTTAACTAATTTTAAGCCTCATACAACATGGATAATTTTGGAAGCTGTTACATGCTATATATTTTTTCAGAACCAGATGCAATAATTTGGTAAAGAACACAGGTAGAAGAGATCACTAATTTTCCTTTTCCCCCAATAAACTATGTTTATTTTGCCAATTTTAATTATCATGCAATCTAATGGATTTAAGGCTTATATTTTCCACATCACTAGACATCACAAACATGAAAGCATTTTATACTGTCATTATACATCAATGTTTGTACTTGGTTATACATATATACAGAAATTATTCACACTTCTTAACCTTGCTATTTCCTCCTTTCAAACCAACATAATCTTATCATGAAAGCAGCTTTTTAATAAATGGTATAAGAAAAACAGCAAGGCACACTTTTTTAAAAAACTTTTTTCTCATTACCACCTCAAGAAGCATAAAAAATGAAAATGTTGTACATAATTTAATAGTAAAATGTCACCAGTTTATAATATACAACACCATATAGTTGTTTCTTGAAGTGCTGCATAGATTACTATTTTTTAAATGAAATGTATAAGATGGCGCTTTTCAAAGTTGCTTAATTTTGAAAGAAGGACCAGTGTTTCTTCTCTATGCTGCAATCAAATAAAATATTAGCCTTTTAGGTAAACCTCTTTCAATAAACACAGGCATAATACCATTTTTAAAAATCCAGATTGAAACATGAAATTGGTCAAGTACCAGTAGAGGGGTCATTCCAGGAAGGTGAATGAATGGACCATCAATTCAGTGAACAGCAAAACTTTAAAGAGCAGATGGGGCAGGGGTAGAAGCAAACAGAAAAGTCTTGCTGGAGAGATGGGATTGGTAGAGGTAGCTCGGGACAGGAATCCATGGGTGAACAAGCAGCTTGCTGAACTTCAAAGACAATCACCTAAAGAGAACCAGTGCACACATCCAGATCACAAGGCTCATGTGGACAAACCGCATTCAGAAAGAAGATTCATCTTGAGAGAGGTCAATGGAACAAACGGCAGTGACAAGATGGAACCAGAGACTAGCCCAGGGTGCAGGTATGAGGCCACCCTTGAGTTGCAGCCAGGCTTATCTACAAGAAACAAAAAAGTGACAAGCAAAGGTTTCAGAAACATCTCTTTCATTTGCAAAACTAAGCCCCTTGAGGAACATTGGCAGGTTGCCATTTTGGGGACTACCTCCAAATGTCCTGAAATAAAAGGATACATAAAATATCACTAGCTCAAGGTTCATATTATTAACTAGTTTCAGACTTGATGCAAAAAAAAAACTGCATTGATTGAAAAAAGACATGATTTTAAAGGAAAATTATTGACATTATTGTTTGACCTTTTCTCTGGATCTCATCCATTCTAGCTTGTGAGCTCAGATTTGAACATTTAAGACAGTCTCAAATAAAAAAAAAAAAGGCAGGGGGTTGGGGAAGGCTGCTGATGCCATGTGGTGCCACAAACTAACAACAGTGATTCACAGACTAAGAACTTGGGCCCTCAGATTTAATCCTTCCTTCAATGAATGTGAGCATGGAATTGAATATTTCCACAATTACACAGCAGTGAAATAACATTGTGATAATCCCAAATGTTTCAGCCCCTTACCTATGAAAGGATGTAACTGGAGTTTCTAGCTCAGAGACTAATGAATTTCATTTAAAGGTAGAGACAGCATTGTAGAAACAAGAATGATACAATTATCTTCCTATACCTGACAGCTCAGATACAAATTTGTTCAAACTCAATTGGTTCTGCCTATTTCTAAGTGTAGAATGTGAGGAGCAACTAAATTTCAGGTGTAGGCAATGCAGGAAGCAATTGCTTTAGGTCCTCTGACCAGCTTGCAAACAAAACAAGCTTTTGTTTGTCTGGGTAAACTGAGTTTGAAGTCTGATGTCATGTTGCTTTATTTTTCTTCAAGAACTAGTCTCATTCTTTGTCTTGCTTTATTTCTATAGTCTGCAAGGAGTTAGGAAGAAAATTAGCAAATGTGCTCTTGCTGGGGCCACAGAAAGTTGGCGAGAGAAGGCAAGTTATTAAGAACAGGGGGAGACTGACAGGAACAGATGGGATGAGAAATCGTACAGTAAAACAATGCAGTAACTGAAGAAAGAGCACAGTGCATTATTCAAATGCTCAGGACATGACTCATTTGAAATTTGGCCACTGAGTAGGGAATCCTTAGGTGAGGCAAATCTGGGTGTACTAAATGCTGGCATTTAAATTCTTTCTGGATAATCAATTCTTTCAACTTGGTCCATTTGGAAAGGGACAGGCCAAATTGGCTGAGACACAGATCTGGGAGGCAGGGGGCGGGGGGGGGGTTGGGGGGGTGGTGTGTGTATGTGTGTGTGTGTCCCAATAAAATTTTCATTATTTAGCATGGCAGAGGTAGTATTCAGAGGAGCTAGACAATTGAAAATATTTCATATTCACCAAAGCCTTGTTAAAGTGATCTTAAAGGTAATTTGGATAAAACTATATACCTGTATCATCTAGCAAAAAACTAACACACAGTCACAAGGAATAACTTCTTAAATCTGTTTGGACAGCTTTGGGTCAAATTAGACACATGTCGATTTAATTAATAGAATAAGAATTTGTGTCATGTGCATAAGAAATGTTTGTTCTCACCGTTCTCTCAGTTTGTAAAATTAAGCAGCAGCAACATGTTTAACTGTTATATGTATATAGCTGAGTGTCCATAAATACAAGTAATCACCTGAAATCTATGGGCCACAGCTAACACATTTGCAGACCAACAAAGGAAAAAAGGCAACAGAGCCACAAAGTTCTAAAGGAAATTATAAGTACTCTAAGTAAATACAGCTCCCTCCTCAAAGGAAAAAAGAAATACACAAACCACACAGTAAAATCACACAGTAAAATTAAACACAGTAAAATAAAATTAAAAACCACCAGACAAAACCAAAAGAAAAGTACATTGGCTGCATGTGATGAGTTACGTTTTTATACCACAGGCTTTATCCAGCCTGAAGTTTAGGGTTAAATCATTCACCAAAGATCAGAGACTTATGATGAGGATTATGAAGAAATAACTGTCAGAATATAGCAAAAAGATTAGTGGAAGTACATCTCTTAGTCAGGTCCTAGGAGGCACTCCAGACATACATTATGTGCTTCCTCCAAATTAGGCAGAAATATCTGGATCTATCCAGTTACCTTTCCTTTGATGTGATTTGCTGTAACTGACCTCTCTATTTTTGTAGAAACATTACACATAAATGAAAGTAGTGAAAAGCACAGCAGTGTGCTTGGAAATTGGTGCAAATGCATACTGTGTTAGTTCATGCTGAAACTTTTCAAACAGCTTCTGTGGGTTTTTAATTAAAACACAGTAAATGAAAAATTTTTTCAAAATTTTTTTGTTACTGTTGCATACTGAATCTGCTACTCTAAGTTATGTGTTGTATCTCTTCTAGTAGACATTATAATAATTTCATCATCTGAGAACTTAATTCTGGGGGAAAAAAACCCTGGAAGATCTTTTCTTTTGCTCCTTTGACTCTTGCAGGAAGAATAATGACCACAATTAAGCTTTCATAGACATGAAACCTCACATTTACCAAGTAATTTTATATATACATGACATTTGATACAGAAGACATGCCAATATTCTGAAATTAAAGGCATGTCAACATCCTGGTTGGTAGTGTTTTAACAATAAATAAATATTTGCAGCTATCCAATGTTAATGACGGGTGAAAAAATTTAGGCATCGATGTTTTATCCATTGACACTGAAAACAACTAAATAAGGCTATTTAAATGGTTCTCTGCTGACAAAAAGTCACTTGGGGGCGATGTATGTTCTGCAGAAGTAAAATCTGGCCACTTCACTCTTTTGCTTTAGACAGAGCCAGGCATCACATCATTGGGGCTCAACAAAATATTGCTGACCTGGGGACTGGCTGGTAGTTCTACCTGCCCCTGCCTGTACGGTGTGAGACTTACACAGATCCATCAGCACATTCACTTCCCCAAGTCTCAAGATGAGCTGCTTGTCATTCACATTCCATTTCAATTCTACTTCTGTCTAAGGGAGGGAAGAAATTCCCAGAGTATCAAAAAGGGAGGAGTGTATCTCAGGGGTTTCGCCAGTGCCAGAACTTCTCGAGCTCCGGATCTCAGCATGACTGGAGATTCGAGGGTCATAGTCACATGATGTGACACTCAGAGTAGTGTTGCTTTCAGGCCTTTATATCCTTTCAGAAAAGAAAAATCAGCCAGGCTCTACCAGCCCTTCTGCAGAGGTTGGCAGAGCCAGCAGTACAATTGGTTCTAATAGAACTTGTTTTCAAGCAGCTTATGGAATTGCAGTTACTCTCCCTTAATGGTCAGTTTTACTGCATACTGATGGAGAATGTGATTATAGGGTAGACATGCTTCACAGAAAATACATTTCTCTCTCTCCTACTTTTGTTCTCACTTGCAGTCAATTGCAAATAGAGTCTGAAACACAGAAAATTAGTTGAACTCTATTAGTAAGTAGGATGCCTTTCTTTAATTTTGCATACTGAGTTTATTTTTAGGGTATATATATGGTATAGATTCCCCCCTCACTCCCCATTTCTAGCAGCTCTACATAGAATCACACATTTTAATGAGCTTAGGGCACAGGTGTTGCAGGAAAAAAAAATAATGATGTTTGCCATTCATCTTTCAAATTAAATAATGTGTTTTTAAATAGTAACTTTTTTCATAATACATTATGGGAACAACATTTATCTGTCACATTTTAAAAGATGTATTTGTAATAAATGTAAATTACTTTTAGAAAATCAGTAATTAGGCTCATCAAAAAATAAACAATCTGCCACAAAAAAGATAATCTTTAGCATAGTTAAGTATAATAACTGTTATTTGAATAAGTTAACAAATTAGGGTAGATTGCTTCTGTAATTCATTTCCTATAGCACGAGTTTAGGTTACAGCATTAAGCTTCTGGAGAGGGGGTGGAGATGGCATGAGGCACCTCATACTTTGGGGAAATACAGGTCTCATATTCAAAAGCTCAAATTTTCTTCTTTAAACTTGATTGAAAAAGTATATTCATCACTAGGGCTTAGAAATGGGAAATAACAGAATTTTTGTGTCATGCTTAGAGGTACATCATCATCTCAGAATTATCAATCAATAGCTGTCTTTATTAACTTTGAAATATGAAGAGTGGAATGGCTTTCTTAAAAATTTTGATGGAAATCAGCCTGTCACCTTCAGGCAAAATTCAAAAATTCTGTTTTTATCAAAATGCCATTAACCTGTCATATATTCTCTCTGCATTTGCTTTCTAGACCTGTTCTCAGTCTGTGTGTGTATAAATAAGAGCTGCTTCTTTAACATCACCATTCCCCTCCTGTTTGAATCCTCGGACTTGGCCATGATTAGGAGCTGTGACAGCACAGGCTTCCATGAGAGAAGCAAATGCGATGATAGTTACATCAGAGAGAAGCATGAAGGCATGTTTAAAGATGCCCAGATCAGAATATGCAGCATTTAACCTAATCATGGTTCATCTCCAGGCATTGAAGGGAGTGGGCAGTTCTGTGCACAGGAAACTTAAGTGGGGATCATTGTTACTGTGTATGCATTTTGATCAGAGAATATAATTGCAATTTGGAGAACCTTTATTCCTCCCTCAGTGGAAGAACTTGAGGCCCTAAATTATTTCAGCTACTTCTTCAAATTTTGTATTCTTCTTGCCAGAATGATATTGTAAAGACAATGTCACCAAAAATATCATGTATGATTGTTTTTCCTCCTTTTGCTTCACAGTTACTTGTATTGTTGAGAGTATTTCCTCTACTAAATGTCTTATTCTGATAAATATCCGCCATGACTAGTCATTTTGACTATTCTTATCTCCTATCATGGCTGCTTTGTTAATTCAAACTTATAATTTTAAACAGTGTATTTAAATATAGATGACTAGCACAAGGACTATACATACCTTTCAATGAGATGATTTTTCATGCTTGGAGAGGGTTACATTCTACCTATGCATATTTCTATGTTGTTCTTCATGAAGATTTAGAAGATTTTCTTCACAGGTTAAAGTTTTTGGGTTGGGATGTGCTGCAACCTTGTCTTCTGGCTGCTCTGCTTGCAAGGAGAGGCCTGGAACGCTATGTTTGGCTGAAGTACTATTATAGACTTCTGGCATTCCAGATTCAGCTGGGTTTTCTGAATTCACTTTTTCACTGTTCAGCTTTGAAGTAGTTGTTAACTCCAAGCTTTCTCTGGAGACAACAGAAGCTTGGGATAAACCATTCATTTCCTTTCTAACATCAGAACTTTTATGAGGGTGGGAACTTGAGAAAGCCACCATTTCTGTATCATCAGCAAAAAGAGACATATCACTTGACTCAGAAGAACCTGATGGTACTTGCAATGGCTTTGCAGCTTCACCAGGAAAAGCAGATTCAGTTGGAGGAGTGCTGGAGAAAAAGGACTCATCTCTAGCCGGGTTATCATCAACACAGGCCTCAAAGAAGCATTCAATGTCTTCCTTGTCTTCTAAGCTAGAATCAGTGATGTCCGGTGGCAATGGGGTGTTGCTCTTCTCTTCTATGTAACTGGTGACCTCCCCACAATCACTGTCATGTGATGAAAGAGATAAGTAGGAATAAAAGTCCCCTTTTCGCAGCTGAATGGGCCGATGAGAATGTTCCAGTACTTTTTCCTTGATTTGAGTTAATGAAGTAGGAGGTGCCACCTCATTTTCAGGTTGAGATTTATTTTTCAGAGCTGTTGAAGCCATGTCAATTATTTCTTTAACAAAGTTATGCACTGAACAATCTTCAGCATCTTTTTGATGGAAAACATCTGGCCCACAGGCACAACAGGAAATGTTGTCGCTGATAGAAGCAGTTTCCTCTGTTTCACTTTGTTCAACTGTAAGGCAGCAAACAGCAGATTTTCCATCCACACTTGGTGCATCATCAGATGAAGATTTTAGTATATCAGAGTCCTGTCTATCGATATCTCTGGTTTTAGAAGGCAGTTCTGGGCAAGACTTCTCAGTGACAGTAGAAGCAGCACTTTGATTTTCAAAATGGTTGTGGCTTTGACATTCCTTTGGAAGATCAGGAACAATTTGGGGAAGATCTGAACTATTCATATATGCTTTACAGTTACAATGCTCGTTCTCTGAAATCTCTCTCCCAGTTGAACCAACATTTTCTGTCTCCTTTGAAATTCCATTCAGTTTGTCCTCCTGCCTTTCTGGAGTACTTTCAATATTGCCATTTTCCATGTCAGCCACATATGGGTCTTTATTAACTTTGAAAATATTTTTCTTATTTTCCCCCTTTATCCCTAACTCACCAGTATGGGATATATTCTTAGCATTTCCATTATTTTCAGAGAGATGTTTTAGGGAGCCATTTAGAAGGGCCTCAATGTTCAGTGTATCAGAGGGATTGGTCATCTCACTACTACTTACATCCTTATTGCCCTTTATTTCATCACTGAGATTACACCTTTTCTTATCTCTTGTCAAGGAAAGCTTTGGTCTAATCCAGGTCTGCAGTTCATTCTTTATATAGTCCAGCCCTGACATCAAGTTGCATTCTTCGTAAATTTCATCATCTGTTGCAATACTAGAGTCATCATCCTCATCTTTGATGCAAAGCTCTTCTTCTGTCAAGGTGAGGGTAGAGCTGGAAAGGAGGTCACTATCATCTTCATCATCAGTGCAAGCAGAGGTGCAGGAGACATTAACAATCATGCTGACATTGACATCACTTTCATCAGCCACTGAACGAGTCAGGCGCTTCCGGAATGATGCATTCGATTCTGGCTTCTTGTTCTTGTGTAACACAATATCCTCTGAGCAAAGAGAAAGCTCATCACTGCTGCTAAATTCTGTAAGAGAGGCAGGTGAGTCTTCATTGATAGAAGACGCCATGTCTAATGACAGCTGACCAGTGAAGGACATCTTTTGGGAACTGCTCTGGAGAGTGATATCAGAAACACTTCGCTTCATCTTTTGTTCCGAGGGGCTCTGAATATTCTCTAAACGATTCAGGAGATCTAATGTCCTTTTACTTAGTTCACCAACTGAGCCACTGCTCACACTTATATCCCCAGAGCTATGACAGCTAAAAAGATCTTCATTACTTTTATAGGATGTCAACCAACTTTCTAAAGAAGTACTTCGTTGGAGGTTGTCACTGCCATGTTTAAAGATGCCCAATCCATATAAATCACTCCCTGGAGAAAGGGATTCAACAGATGAACTATGAGATAAAAGGGAGAGCTGTTTGGTGTTCTGCATGCCAGCAAATGTCTTCTCTACATCACCACTTTTATATGAATTGCGATCCACTTCATGGGATGTACTTGCCAAAATCCTTTCATGGGGAGGTACATCAGGTTGTAACTCTGTAGCCTGATGTTTACATTTGCAGGATTTTTTATCAAAATAAAAACCATGAAGTAGGGGACCCTCCACATGTACTTTTTCACTTTGTGATTGCTTCATTATCATTGGTAATTTGAGTTTTGAGCCTTGGAGGTAGGAGTAATCATAAAATGTAAACACATCATGTTTCCCTTGTAGTTCTCCTAAACAATCAGGGGTATGTTTGGTAACACTGTTTAAATCTCCAACTTTTCCATTTATACAACCCATTGATGAAATGGATATCTGAGAGCTATTTGGAAGCTTAATGTGCTCCTCTTCATCTTTAAACTTTTGCTTTAATACATTAACAGCATCTCCTATTTGTGGGTCCAGATGTTCAGTTTCAGGATTACTTGGGGACCCATCCACTGCATTAAGCAAGCACATTTCAGAGTTGGTAGTAGTTTCAGTGTCTCCTTCACTGACAATTCCACTCTCACTGCCAGAATTCTGGCTCATGTCTCCTCCATGGCATGGGCATGTCTTTACCAAACTGGAACCCCCTAGAAGGTCTGGCAAAGATTTGGTAGATGAAAAGGAAGAGTCTTTACTGAGACTCTTAGTTAAAACACTAGGCTGTGTCACACTGGTGAACTTTGGGTTGTTTTTCAGAAATGGCAGGTGGTTTTCTTCATATAGTTCAACATTGTGGAGGCTATACACTTGATAAATGTGTGGACTGGAGGGGGCAGTAATACTTGAAGCATACTGAGATCCTACATGGTCACCTGCATCCTCTGCATAACCGGGATCCTCACTACCTGTTTCTTCAAGCTTCAAAGAAGGCATGACAGGTTGGGGTTCTTGGTCAACATCATTTGATTCTTCATTCAAACTAATTAACTTATTACTTATGTCAGTTTCATCCCATTCCAGAGCATCCTCACTTGTCCCATTTAGGTCCATCAAGCCAGGATCAATCACATTCAAACTTTCCTATGCAGGAGAAGGAAATAAAGGAGAAAATTTTATCTTTTAAGGTCCCTTGGAAATATCCCTGATGAACATAGATGCAAAACCCCTCAAAAAAACATTAGCACCAAATTCAACAATGTATTAAAAGGATCATAAATCATGACCAAATGCGGTATATTCCTGGGACACAGGATGGTTCGACATCTAAAAATTGATCAATATAATGCATCATATCAATAAAAGATAAAAATCATATAATAAATATCAATAGATATTGAGAAAATATTTGATAAGATTTAACATTCATTTATGATAAAAATCTTTTTAAAAGGCCATATGAGACAAACCCACAGTTAACATCATATTCAACGGAAAAAATGAGAGGCTTTCCTTTAAGATCACATACAACCAGTATGTCCACTTTCATCACTACTATTCAATACAGTATTGGAAGTCATAGCTAGAACAATTAGGTAAAGAGAAAGATATAAAAAGAATCCAAATTGGGAAAGAAGTAAAACTATCATTATTTATAGACGACATGATAATATACCTAGAAAACCCTAAACACACTAAAAAAGTATTAGAAACAATAAATCGTACAGTAAAGTGGCAGGTTACAAAATCTTTTGCATTCTTATATGCAAAGCAATGAACTAGAAGAGAAAGAAATCAAGAAAAAACTCCCATTTATAATTATGTTAAAAAGAATTAAATTCTGGGCCTCCCCGGTGGCACAGCAGTTGAGCGCTGGCTTGCGAAGCTGCCCACAGCCTCTGCAGTGCCGGTTCGGTGAGGGTCCCACATGGCGCGCAGACCTCTCCTGCTGCCCGCTGCTCCCCTCAGCAGTGTACTTCAGTCCTTCTGCCTGCTCTGCTCCCCGCTATGGCTCTGGTGAATTCTCTCACCCTCCCACGTTTCTGACTGTATCCAGTGCTTGTATAAATAAATAAATAAATCTTTTTTTAAAAAAAAGAATTAAATTCCTGGGAGGGAGCTTAACAAATAAGGTGAAGGGGAAGGATCTGTGCAATGAACATTGTGAAATATTGTCAAAAGAAACAAGACATAAAGAAATGGAAAGATATATTCAACTCATGCGTTAGAAGAATTAACATTGTTAAAATGGCCATCTTACCTAAAGCAACAAACAGATTCAATGCAATACCTATCAAGGCTCCATTGGCATTCTTCAAAGAAATAAAACAAAGATTACTAAAATTCATATGGAACCACAAAGACCTTAGATAGCCAAAGTAATCCTGACAAAAAGAGAAAGATGGTGGTATCACACTCCCAGACTTCAAATTATATTTCGTAGGAACAGTAATCAAAATACTATGATACTGCAACAAAAATAGATACACAGACTAAAGGAGTAGAATTGAGAGTCCAGAAATAAACCCATACTTATATGGACAGTTAACCTATGACAAAGGAGCAAATACTATATACATTGGAGAAAGGAAAATCTCTTCAACATGTGGGGTTGGGGAAACCGGACAGCCACATGTAAAATAATGAAACTAGACCACTACCTCACACCATATACAAAAATTAACTCAAAAATGGATCAAAGACTTGGGTGTAAGACCCGAAGTCATAAAATGCATAGACAAACACACAGGCAAAATATTCCACAACATTATCATCAGGGATGTCTGTGGGAACTAGATTCTAATAGCAAGGGAAACAAAAGAAATAATAACAAATGAGCCTACCTCAAATTGAAAATATTCGACACAGCAAATGAAATGATAATTAAAACAAAAAGACACCCTGCACCTCCCTGGTGGTGCAGGGGGTGAAGCACAGCACTGTGAAGCCATCTGTAGTCTCTGCAGCTCTGGCCAGGGAGCTACCCACATGGTGCAGCAGACCTCTCCTGTCTCGTCTGCTGCTCCTCTCAGCAGTGTGTTTCAGTCAGTCTGCCTGTTCTGCTCCCCAGTCTGTCTCTGGTGCATCCTCTCAGCCTCCACACCTCTGGCCTGAACCCCAGTTCTTGTAGGCATAAATAAATAAATCTTAAAAAATAAAAAAGACACCTTATTGAGTGGGAGAAGGTATTTACATATAATACATCTGATGAGGGGTTAATAATCAAGGTCTACAAAGAACTCATGCAATTCAACAACAAAAAAACAAATAATCCAATAGGGAAAAAATGGGCAGAAGACTTAAATAGAAACATCTCCAAAGAAGACATTAAGATGGAAAGAGGTACAGAAAAAAAAAGTGCTTATCATCATGAATCATCAGGAAAATTCAAATCAAAACCACAATGAGATAGCTGTGAGAACGGCCCCCACACCAAAAGAAAGAAAGAAAGAAACGAACAAACAAACAAACAAACAGAGAGAGAGAGAGAGAGAGGGAAGGAAGGAAGGAAGGAAGGAAGGAAGGAAGGAAGGAAGGAAGGAAGGAAGGAAGGAAGGAAGGAGAAAGAGAGAAAGAAAGAGAGAAAGAAAGAAAGAGAGAGAAAGAGAGAGAGAGAGAGAGAGAGAGAAAGAAAGAAAGAAAGAAAGAAAGAAAGAAAGAAAGAAAGAAAGAAAGAAAGAAAGAAAGAAAGAAAGAAAGAAAGAAAGAAAGAAAGAAAGAAAGAAAGAAACAACAAGTGTTGGAGAGGATGTAGAGAAAAGGGAATTTTGCACACTGTTGGTGGCAATGCAGAATCATCCAGCCCCTATGGGAAATAGTATAGGAGCATCTCAAAATATTAACAGATTTATCATATGATCCAGGAATTCTACTCCTAGATATCTATTCAAAGAATTCAAAAACACTAATTCGAAGAGATTTATGCACTCCTATGTTCATTGTAGCACAGTTTAGAATAACTTAAGTGCTCAAGGACAAATAAGTGGATTAAGAAGATGTGGTATATATACAGAATGGAATACTATGCAGCAATAAAAAGATGAACTCTTGCCATATGTGACAACAAGGATGAAACTGAAAGGGATTATAATAATGGAAATAAGTTAGAAAGATAAAGACAAATACTGAGTGAATTCACTAATTCGGAATTAAAAAAAAAAAAAAAAGCCCAGACAAAACCGAAGCAATAACAACCTGACTGTAGAACTGAGGCTGTCAAAGGGAGGTTGAATATGTAGAGAAAAGTTGGGGAGGGGAACAAATGGGCTATGGGTGCCTTGGAGGTGAGTGTGTTGTGGTAATATATATCTAAAGAGGTGTGATCCTACACCTCGGAATCATATCAGTGTTGCAAACCAATATTGCCTCAATGAAAAAAATTTCTTGGAAGAATCAAGAAAGAAAATTGTCCCAAACATGGATTTAAAAAATAGCATAATTATTAACTCTATTCATCTCTGGAATAACATCCAAAATTATTGAAATAGGATTTTCTATCAATAGGAATTTATCACTGAAGGCAAAACATAGATTAAATATTAAGATTATGATAGTCAGGAAGTAATGTATGGAATTAGCCATTTCCGAAACTGACAGGTAAATGAGGGCTAAAAAGTGTATAGCTCATGATATCTCTTAAGGCACTTTCATTTTAATATGGTTTTAGTCCCAGAATTCATAGCAAAATACTATCTGCAGCCATACCTGACAACCTCTTCTCATCTCTATCCCTGGGTTCTCCACTTGAAGTTGCATTTCCTTAGGAAAATAGAATAGAATTGTACCTACCATATAAAGACATTTATGGTCCAGAGGCTCTAGCTTGTTTATCCCTTCTTCTGCCTTCCCTTTTAGGACTCTGCCTCTTCAGAACTCCATCCTGCTCCCAATCAGACTCTAGATGAGTAATACCAGACTGATTTCCTCACCTACATCTTCTTCTTGGACCCTAACTCTCAGGTTCCAGTGCTCCTTGACAGTCTCTTAATCACAGTTCTTTCTCTTCACCATACTCTCTGACAGAGATTCATGTTAACTTATCTTGCCATTGTCATTCTTCCCCTATTTCTTACAGGCAGGAACCTCTTTCTCTGGCCCACATCCAGCACGAGAATAATACCTTTCTGAAGACTTTCCTAACTCCCAACAATGAAGTAGCCCAGATTCAACTACATTGCTCTCTGTAGGCACAGTCAGAACACTTGCTCTTTCCTTGGATCCCCCATTTTAGTCCTGTTTAGGGAGAATGACACATTTTGGAACATAATAGCTGAATAGGCTTCTGGATTCTGTTCAGATACCTTTACCATCCTCACTTGCTGTCCAGCTGTCTGGATTTATACTAGAGCCAAGAGAGGTGAAATCAGTACTATAACCCTGATAGACTTACTCACAGACAGAAATTCCAGCAGAAATTTGCAGTTTGGCATATACTTAAGCTGAGTACTTAGATGGATATGCATGCCTTTAGAATCATACAGAGGTTGACTTTGATGCTTACTAGCTTCCTGACCTTGGCCAAGTTGCTTGACATTTCTGAGCACCAGCCTCCTCACATCACCTGTTAAATGGAAATAGTACTATCTAACTTTCATGATAATTCTGAGTATTAAATGAGCTAATGTTTGTAAAGGTTGGGAGGCAGTATAAGGTAGCTATAATTCTTAATATATGTAAAATTGCTCTAGTGTGGTCTTGAGTCAATTCATAAAGGGTTCTCTTTGCCTTCTTCATTACATCCTTTTCATCATTTCTTTCAATTTTCTCTTCAACCACAAGGGATTCATGACATAGTAGGTAGAAAAAGGTATAACACAGTGTAGCAGGTCAGCATATTTGCATTACAATTCAGAATTATTCTAACAGCCTGGTTGAAAAACAGACCACGATGCTTTTATTCCTCAGTAGTGGGAAAAAAGGCTTCACCAGAAGCACATTAGCAGAATATTCCTAAGAAACCCTCAATCCTTCCTGAAACTAACAGTTAAGGGAAACCACACAAACACATTAAGTATGAAATACCCATAAGCACTTTATTATACAGGATGGGTAAGAGATTATCTATATAGCCTACTTAAGTTTCAAAAGAGGCCAGTTACAAAGTAAACATTAATTAAAGAATATTTTTAAATTTTATAACAGAA